GTCCAACGAAAGGTTAAGTGTTTTCTAGTAGCGTTTGTTCTGTGTGTGTGTGTGTGTGTGTGGGTGTGTTTGTTTGTGTGTGTGTGTGTGGTTTAGCAAGATAACTCGAGAAGCAGTGGATGGATTGGAATGAAACTGGGTAGGACATCATGAGACCTAGAAATGATTAGATTTTGGGCCCCCTAGCGGCTTTCCTAGGTACTGCAGCTGAACTTCCGGTTTTGATATCTCATGTTCTAGACATGCTAGGGTCACGAATTTTGGTCGGTAGATAGCTCTTGGGGTAGAAAAGAAGTGACATAAGTTTGGGTTCCCTAGCGCCTTGGTCTGGAACTGCAGGAGCATTTGTTGAAAAAAATTTGAAGGGCGATAACTCAAGAACCGGTTGACGTATTGTCGTGATTTTTGGTGTGTAGGTAGTTGAAGTGATGCTTGACATAATTAAATGGCAATTATGCAAATCAGGAATTAATTTGCATAATTAATGAGGAAATTCTATAAATCTGCTTTGTTCGATAATAGAACTATGAAACACTTGTGACATCTACTTGAGAACGAGAAAAACATCTGAGGATATACATTATGTAAATGAGGGCCTAATTTGCATAATTAATAACAATTCTTATAATTCCATAGTTGTAACTGCTGCACCCCGAGTTTCATACTTGCCACATTTGGAAGTTAACTGAAGGTGAACAGCAATAAACATAACTTATTCAAGTCATGACCTCATTTGCATAATTTATGAGGAAGTGCTATAATAGCCTTTTTGTTAAGATTAGGCCATGTTGATTTGATTATATGGATGACATCCTGCGGGAACCCCAAAATTGATGCGCGCGTGCGAATAAAAAAAAAAATTTGCAAAAAAAACAAGTTGTTTTCATTATGAAATCTACGTGGTCATGATTGTTGAACAAATGGGACAGAATATGGTTTGGCGAATAATCTAGTCTTCAAGTTCATTTCTTTACAATTTCGTCTTTTTTCTCTTGATTTTGACATTCTACGACATTGGTATGGGTTTTTTTTTTGTAACTTACGGTATGGTATATTTTTGCTCATTTTGCAACTGTTTTGTACGATTTACAGTATGGTTGAAAACTTTTTTTTTTTTGAAACGGCCGAAAATTCATGCGCGCGCGGATGTCATCCATATAATCAAATCAACATGGCCTAAGGCTGGCATTGGGTGGAGAATATGATCAAATGATATAATCCATGCAAATGAGGCTCTTATTTACAAAATCAATGATTAAAATTGTATAATTTGTCACCCGCAAGGGTTAACATCATTTGGCGAAGGTATGAGATCGTGGAACTCTTGTGTTTAGAATATTTTCAACTCATTAAATGTACTATACAATCGGCTCCGCTCCAAAGGTGTCGCCAAAATATCGCCATGCGGAGGTCACTGAACTGCAGCCGGCTCACCCTGGATCGAGAAAGTCGGCGCATTTATACACATAGACTACCCAAACTTTACAGTCCAAATCATACGGTCTCAAGGCCGTTATATTTCTATTCTACATAGCACACCTTACACCTGGCTACCTTTCTCAATACAGCTTTTTTTTTCAAAACCAGACTTGAAGAATTCTGTTCCGCACTACTTTCTGAACCGTGTCAGATACACCAGGGGTCGCCCATTAATATTGTGTTCTGCGACCATTAAAGTCGATTCAACTATAACTTCAACGTATGACTTCATCATCAGTTTGGTAAGTGCTCACTTTGGTATTGCCATAATATTAGCTTGTCAGGAGTATAGTATGGAGATAAAGAGAACGTTGTAAGGTCGGTGTGTGGTGAAATTTGTTAAAGAAATGTATAATGTATAGCGTTACTGTGGGAGGGGGGCGAACAGTTAGGAACATGTGGTGCATGTGGGCTGTTGTGTATACACACTATATACACTAGACTACCAGATTCTTTTCCAGCATTTACCACGATGAACTTGAAAAGCAAATTTAAATACATATTGAATTAAATACACTTGTGACAACCCTTACATGCTATACATAGGGATATATTTACATCTGTGTCCATAATATCACCAGGGTCCATAAATTATATCGCCACCTTGAGAAATAGTGTGCTTAAACTTAAGTTAAAGATATTTTTACTGCAACATACTTTTGGTATGTACTCCTTCACACCTCAAATGTACATACCTAGGGTATGTTGCAGTAAAAATATATGGATATATGGATATTAGAAACTCCTCCAACGATTGTGTAAGTTGATACGTATCCCATACTAGCCACCCACTTCTGTATTAGTTAGGTTAGCCTTGTGAAAATGTAGTTGATATGTACTTACTTAAGTTAGTAGATGCCATACTTTGTACCCTGTAAAGCTGTTGCGCAATAAAGACATTATTTCAAAAGGGGGGGGGGG